TTAGAAAATAACTGAGTTAGCAAACCGTTTTCATACTTGACAGGCTTAAATTTTTTTTTTGTCACTTTTGGCAATTAGCAGAGCTGACAAACAAATAGTTTAGTCTAATTATCTGACAAAGCGCTACAAGAGTTAATGTGATATTACATCACTACTGATAAATTACTAAGTGACATCTCATCAGTAGCTGTGCTTAGCATTCATTCTTTGTGACATGTCTGACATTTTTTGTGACAAACTCAGTTTCTGGCGCTTCAAGCTAGGTAGAGCAACTTGTTTGGTATCTTCATAGCTTAGCGTCCTAAACTGTGTAGCATTTTCCTGACATTCTGCTGCTTCTTTTTTTACCCCAAATGCTCTTATTTGTTCCATACTGAGGGTTCAGGGCAAGCACTGGGGGTTGGTGTAGAGATTTTTTTTTTTTTTTTCGTCATACTGCACAAGTTAAGATGTTAAGTTATTTTATTTTATTTCTTTCATTTTTTAATAAATTAGACTTTTCTGTAACATTTGCCACTTTTGTCAAATAACTGCAAGAGAAACAAACAGCTGTTTCTAATGCTGTTAATTAATTGTCATATTGTATGTTTATCACTTTAAGAGGTAGAAACATTTTTCATACTAGACTTTTTTTGTCGCATTTGACAGCTCAGTTTCTAAACTTAATGTTTCTGAAAATGGACAAGTACTAGACAAATACTTGTTTGGTGTTTAAAAACGTCTAAAACAATGTAGATATTATATTTTGTCACATTTTTGTCACTTTTGATGGCAAACAGAGATATCGAGCAAGTAGCTACAGTTAGCTCTCATTTATTGCCAGAAATCCATCACATTAACCAAAATGTTGTTGTTTTTTTTTAATCATACTGTTTAGTTGTTTAGCAAATTATTTTGTGCATTTTTGGACAAATTAGAAAATAACTGAGTTAGCAAACCGTTTTCATACTTGACAGGCTTAAATTTTTTTTTTGTCACTTTTGGCAATTAGCAGAGCTGACAAACAAATAGTTTAGTCTAATTATCTGACAAAGCGCTACAAGAGTTAATGTGATATTACATCACTACTGATAAATTACTAAGTGACATCTCATCAGTAGCTGTGCTTAGCATTCATTCTTTGTGACATGTCTGACATTTTTTGTGACAAACTCAGTTTCTGGCGCTTCAAGCTAGGTAGAGCAACTTGTTTGGTATCTTCATAGCTTAGCGTCCTAAACTGTGTAGCATTTTCCTGACATTCTGCTGCTTCTTTTTTTACCCCAAATGCTCTTATTTGTTCCATACTGAGGGTTCAGGGCAAGCACTGGGGGTTGGTGTAGAGATTTGGCTAGTCGACAGCTGTTTTACACTTTAATAAGATTAGTGTAAAGAAATTAGTCGTGTGCTCTATAATCTGCCGTTTAACCGTGCGAGCCACCTGGGGCTGCCCCACCCCCACTCCTCACATTCCTCCCCCCGCATTATTGGACAGGCATCAGATAGCCTCGGTCGTACCTTCAAAACCCTGTGAACGTGCGCCTATCAGGTTTACTGTGAATCTTTTATGAGCTCGTGCAAGTGTTTGTAGCTCATTAACGCAAAAGTAGTCTACATTTGGTACATTTTTAAGAATAGTTTTACGTGTGTAAATTAACGGTTTATTTTAAATATTATAAAAATACACCTTTGTAGTGATCAATTTGTTGAATTGCACTTTATATGCATTTTATGATTTGGTAGGTTTAGCACAATTTCTGTTACCCCTTAATGTGTCGTACTACAATAATGTGATACTCTTGTGCTTAAACCCTCAATCCGCTGTTTATATTTGAGAAGCCAAAGTGAACCTTGACACTGAGGCCTGTCATTCAATCCTTGCCTGGACATTTGACACTTATCCTTTAAAAACTTACCTAGGAACAATATGGATACCTCAAATTCCATGTCAAACACAGATGAGACTAACATGGCCCATCCTTAAAAAGATATTTTAGGTTTCATTTAGTCGAAGCCTGCTCGCCCCAACAGTCACGTTGAGAATGTTTGAGCATTTGATGGAGAAAGAATAAAAAAAATAAAGCTGTTCAAAGTTACACAATTGAAGTTGTGGTGGAAAATCAGTGTGGCTGAGGCAGTCCTGGTCTGCTGCCAGAGTGCACAGGTTGGAGGGGATCTCACGTTTCCCTTCCCTGACTGAACAGAGCCTGGTGTATCACTCCACTCACCCATGACCATCCGTCCTTCCTTTCCTCCTCTTTTCGCCCCAAGCTCCGTTACACTCCCCGGTATCCTTCCATCAATACAAAGGAAACACTTCAGCATTTACGCTTTGGTGAATCAATGTTCCGTTGGCCGTCGAGCAGTTTTTTCAAACGTTGCGTATTAATTGAACAAGGCCTCTTTCGACACTCTTGTCAACCGTGTTTATCGTCCGCTCGAACGAAGTGAAAACTTGTCGATTAATAACGGTGCACATAAAAACGGCTGCACACTATTTTTATAATGGGTCATGATCGAGCGGCTTTGAAAGTGCAAAGCTACGAGGCGTGCAGGGAATTCTTGGATCCTTTCCCAGCAGACCAGGCACAATGTTTTCCCTGCGGCCTCATACTGCATGTCTGACGCTTTTACACCGCTATGTCAATATTCGCACCGCTATCTCCCTAATCAGCCCGCCAATGGGTAAAATATACACTGGTGTTTTTGTCAGCGGGGTGGAAGTTATTGACAGGCCGAGGCCGCTATTTTTATTACGAGTGCCAATACGGTTTGGCTGAAAATGCCGAACAGATGGCGAAGGTTGCGATGGATATCAAAATGTTTACGGCTGGAAGTAAACATGGCCTGGTTTGAAAAAGAAAAGTCTGATTCCATTTGTCCGTACGGCAGATAGGGCCCCGCCACTCTGCTTTGGGATAAAATATACAGTTGTCAGAAAATATTAACTAATGAAGGGGTGGTTGGGAAGAGGGGTGGATTGGGAGCGGAGTGACTGGTTAGTTATCAGCTACATTAATCTCCTCTCGGGCTGGTGTGGAACAGACAAAATACAGAGGCCTGACTGACTGACAGTGGCTTGCTGGCCAGAAGGCGTTGACGGCTAGACTCTTATCTGAGCCAAGAGAAAACGAGTTGGAGAAAGAGATGGTGGAAACTCGAAAGCAAGGCAGATGTTCGATATCCAGTTCTTCTCCATTTCATCTAATTGAGTCGGTTGTAAGATCCCTTACAATAAAGAGCTGTGGCAGTACTATATTGCAGTGAAAATGCCGTGGTGTCGTATTCTATATATAAATATGGGGTTGGTTAAGAGTTGTTAAAAATGTTTTTGAAAGAATTTTCCTATGCTCAGGAAGGCTGCATTTATTTGATAAAAAATACAGTAAAAACTGTAATATCGTGAAATATTAGTACATTTAAAAACTACTTTTTTTTTCTATTTGAATACATTTTTTAAAATGTAATTTATTCCTGTGATGACAAAGCTAATCATTCTAATATACTGATTTGGTGCTCAAGAAACATTTCTTATTATTGCCAATGTTAAAAACAGTTATTGCTCCCTAATTTTTTTTACTTTTTTTCAGGATTCTTCAATAAATACAAAGTTCAAAAGTCTTTACGGTCACTTTTGATCAATTTAATGCATCCCGAATAAAAGTATTGACTTATTAAAAAATAAATAAGTAAAATTTCAATTGTGTGTGTGTGTGTGTGTCTATGTCTATATATATATATACACATATACATTTTTTTTAAATAAATAATTTTTACTGTATAAATGGGTTATATTTCCATGGCAACAGTTTAAAAAGTTTTAGTACATTTAAAAACTACTTTTTTTTTCTATTTGAATACATTTTTTAAAATGTAATTTATTCCTGTGATGACAAAGCTAATCATTCTAATATACTGATTTGGTGCTCAAGAAACATTTCTTATTATTGCCAATGTTAAAAACAGTTATTGCTCCCTAATTTTTTTTACTTTTTTTCAGGATTCTTCAATAAATACAAAGTTCAAAAGTCTTTACGGTCACTTTTGATCAATTTAATGCATCCCGAATAAAAGTATTGACTTATTAAAAAATAAATAAGTAAAATTTCAATTGTGTGTGTGTGTGTGTGTCTATGTCTTTATATATATACACATATACATTTTTTTTAAATAAATTATTTTTACTGTATAAATGGGTCATATTTCCATGGCAACAGTTTAAAAAGTTTTTTTTATTGTTCTGTTTTGCTTCATTTTGTTTCCTGTTTTGTTTTATTTTACTTTGCAATTAAGTAACAGTACTTTAGACACCTTTACTGTGGTGGTACTATGGTATTAAAAAAACAAACACTAGCTTTCTATTCTGTCCACTTGTTTTTCTTTGTGTGTGTGTGTATATGTGTGTGTATTATATATATATATATATATATACACACCGTGCAACGTGTACTGCGTTAGTCTAACCGAAACTTGTCATTTGCAGTTATGTATTGTTGCTCTTTTGTTAGTTTTGACTGCTTTTATTGTCCTCATTTGTAAGTCGCTTTGGATAAAAGCGTCTGCTAAATTACTAAATGTAAATGTAAAAATGACTAAATGTATTATTACCATCATGGTTGTGTCAAAAAAAAGTCGTATTACCATTACCATGTTAAAAATCATAATAATACCACGGTCGTTCTTTTTTTGTGAGCGACTGAGCCCTCATCAGGGCACATCTCATGTTTTCACATTGCGTAAGGAGCTGTTCCTGAGAGAAACTCCCGTGAGCGAAATATTCCAAGTGTTGTCATGCTTCTTGGATTGCATGTGATGTTCACACTCTGAGCCTTAAGTGTCAATTTCCTCAGATAACCTTACTGTATTACGGCAGAGAACCCGGCTCATCTGATTGGCGATCTTTTACACTGCGAGTCAGAGTAACCCTGAAATGTTTATATGGGGCCTGCTTTGTATTCTGATCATTTGGATGGAAAACTCAAAACAGGAGAACTAATCCCCCCTCTCTCTCTTTCTCTTAGGTCCCTCTGCACTGCCGTGAACACGTATTACCTGTCCTGCATACACTGCCACAACAACTGTTCCTATGTTCTCTACAGCAACAAAATTACCTTTCTCATGGACCTTCTCCTCCATCAGTTAACAGTGAGTATTTGCGGCTCAAGCTTACTTGAGTTTGCCTGATCCTGCTCCGTTTTAGTCTGTTATGTGCCGTAAATCCAAGCTTTTGTCACTACACTACTGTCATTTGAAGGGGAAGTTCACCCAGAAACAAAATTCACCGTCATGTCATTCCAAACGTTTATGACTTACTTACTTTTGTACATCCCAAAATTTGAATATCCTGGCCACTACTTTTCCATATAATGCACGTGAATAAGGACTCAAGCTTTTTAGCTACAAAATGGCACTACAAAAGTTTCATAGAACTGGTTCATGCAGTGCTTAGAAACTGAAAATTGGTAGTCTATTAATAAGAGGAGAAGAGATTTGTTGTAAATGAATCATTCTTGTGAGTCAAATCTTTTCAGTGAATCAGTTGATACAATTTTTAACACCCATCTGAATGATTCATTCACAAATCTGACTGATATGGTTCGCAAGTTCAACTCACTAACTCAATGCAGTTGATTATTAGTAAATGACAACTAAATTCTCTCAAAGGTCACGAATGACTAAAAAAAGACCTCTAAACGAATGTAGTTAGTGAGTGCATGGACTGTTTTTATGGCACCCTTTGAAGCTTGTAACCTCCAGTTCCCATTTATTATGACTGCATGGAAAAGAGCGACCAGTACTTTGCTTAAAATGCCTCCTTTTGTGTTGCACTTTGAAAAAGAAAGTCATACGGGTTTGGAATGACATGAAGGAGAGTAAAACTGGTGGAATTTTCAATTTTGAGTGAGCCAATACTTTTAGGATGTGACTTCCACTTCAGCTTTTAAAGGCCTGAAGTGCTGTTTGTCATGTTTAAAGGGTCATTTCTGCCTTGTTCATCTTGCCAGAGCATATGTAGCTCATCTACCAGTTTAAAGCAAGCGCCAAAAGGGATTTTAATACATACAACATTCTCTTGTTTATGTGACTCACTGAATCATCTTAAGCTCTGGGAAAGCGCCACTGCTGAATCACATTTCGCATTGCGTCTCTCCCTTATTTTTTGTCTGTATTTTGGCGTCCCCCCACCATTCCTTCGCTCCCACCATCCTGCCCTTTGATTTTTGGAAAAGGGGCTTTCAGAACCAAGATCACACTACGCTTCAAGCTTTTTAAGATGTCATTGAGACAAAGTATGGAAAGACACACAGATGCCATTGGGGTCATGTTTACGTAATTCTCTCAGCGTTGATTGAAAAGAACATCATAAACAGTAACAGAAAATTGTTCCACTGAATTTGCAACAGGTGCTAACACTATTACCAAAATTCTACACAATTGGCTGCATTTTCTTGCAGAACATATCCCACTTTCATTCATTTACTAATATGTGAGTGTGTGTTTTTTCACATGTTTATTATGTGCGTACAATTAGTGAATGAGACCCAGTGACTGAGTCATATAGGGCTTGTGGTTGTGTTTGCGCAAGAAACATTGGTTTGGCAAATCATTAAGCCCCAGTCAGTGTGCATCCCAGTCTATGAGACCTAATATTTCCTGGGGGTACAGGGGTTTATTTCAAACTCAACTCAACAGTCAGTCAGCCCACTGATTATTTGATATGTGACTGATAGAAACGGACAGAATATTCACCCAAGTGAAGTGAAAAATACTATATACAATATAAGAGCAATATTATATTAAGTTATTTTTGCAAGCTGACCTGTGTGTGTGTGTGTGTGTTTCACTGTGGCCAGTATTGGCGTCCACCCTTCCCTTCTCTGTAATTAGATTTGTGGAGAATGTAGCTGGTTTTGCCTGCTCTCTCAGTATACTAACCTACTCCTCTGTAAAAACTGCCGATTTAACATGGGCTGTACCTGTGCTAAAGTCTGTTTGTATTTCTTGTTTTTAACCAATGATGTCTGACTAGTCTAAAACCACCTTAATGCATTTAACCTTATATGTGACACATTAAATTGTCCTATATAACAAATGGCAAAATGTTTTGGGAAATTAATGTTACAGAATTTTTTTTAATTCATTCGTTCAAATTTTTTTTTACACAATACAAGCATATTTATACTTTTCATTGCATTTTTTCACATTTATTTTATTTTTTTTTATTTCAAACTCAACTCAACAGTCAGTCAGCCCACTGATTATTTGATATGTGACTGATAGAAACGGACAGAATATTCACCCAAGTGAAGTGAAAAATACTATATACAATATAAGAGCAATATTATATTAAGTTATTTTTGCAAGCTGACCTGTGTGTGTGTGGGTGTGTGTGTGTGTGTTTCACTGTGGCCAGTATTGGCGTCCACCCTTCCCTTCTCTGTAATTAGATTTGTGGAGAATGTAGCTGGTTTTGCCTGCTCTCTCAGTATACTAACCTACTCCTCTGTAAAAACTGCCGATTTAACATGGGCTGTACCTGTGCTAAAGTCTGTTTGTATTTCTTGTTTTTAACCAATGATGTCTGACTAGTCTAAAACCACCTTAATGCATTTAACCTTATATATGACACATTAAATTGTCCTATATAACAAATGGCAAAATGTTTTGGGAAATTAATGTTACAGAATTTTTTTTAATTCATTCATTCAAATTTTTTTTTACACAATACAAGCATATTTATACTTTTCATTGCATTTTTTCACATTTATTTTATTTTTTATATATATTAAATCAGTATTACTGTTGTGTTAAACATACATTTTTTTTGTTTTCATTTTTTAATAAATCAAATTATTTTGTTTTGTATACCAAAGTATATGCAGAGTATAAATAACTTTTTTGGACAAAAAAAATACTTTTAGGCAAATGCAAAAGTGCATGGTCCAATTATACTGGCTAAATATGCATCCCTGCTTTACTGTGGCGGCAACAAACTTTATTCAAGGTTCAGGTAGGAAGCTATAAACATGCTGACAGTTTAATTAGCATTAACTAACTTGCCATTTTAATTTGTGATAGTAGTTGGCATGAAAGAGAATTATCATAGAAGGCAGTTTAAGTTATTGCCCTTGCATGCATCACTCTTTGATGTATAAACATTAACTGAAAAAAAAAAACATTTATGTTCCCTATCCTTGCATCCAAGGAACATTCTTGTTACATGACCCATCTTTCTCAAGCCTGCCAGTGGTGCCCGCCAACAAGGGAATACCTTGCAGAGTTCTCATATGCCCTCCATTGGCACACCACCGGTGACAATGTCGCTTCGAGTTGTAACTACCAATTTATAACCCAGGGCTGATGAATAATAGAGCAGCGCCCTTGTAGTTATTTATGCGCTAGAAGATCAGGATTCCAACCAAAGATTAATGGCTTGCACGTGGAAACAAAAGAACCGGATCCTTTTTATTTGCACCCTCTGCTTTAATTGGACATGTTTTAAAATGCAAGCCGAGGTTTAAATGACCCTGTCTATTGTGCAGCAGTGCTGGGCTGGATATTGAGACCAGTATGGGCCGTTGTTGAGTTATCTCGGATGTCCGTCACTGCCAAGATTGGTGTAAGAGACAACCATCAGTCAGTTGAGCAAGTGTTTGCAAATTTCAAAAAAGTTTCAATGTTAGCTTAAAGTACTGTGCATCTTGTAGGGATGTAATCAATTTGATTGTGTTTATTGTAAACTGCAGCAATAGAAGGATTTGCAGCAGTACAAACAACGTTAATGGTGTAAGTGACGGTAACAACACTGCATCAAAGCTCCAAACAGAGTTTAAAGAAAATGCCTACAGTTGTTTGAACATGACTGTAGTTTTAGACCTTCCCATGTTTGACGCGCTCGTAGACATGTTGAGAGTGGTTTACGAAGATGTTTCATCTGTAGCTCCTGATGAAACCTGAAAGCTCCAACGTGTCTAGACCCCATTGTCTTGTTTCTTGGTAGGATCAAGGTAGTGACTACAGGTCTACTCGCAATGACTTTTATTTTTTCTGTTTCCATCAATGCCGACTAACACATCTATACCTGTTTCCATAGCTCTTCGTGCCAGATGAGGACAAGTCCATCTTTGGCCGCAGTGTCAATAAGCAGGTCTTTGAGGGTTTGACTACAGGACTTCTGCAGACAGTTGCCACAGCGCTGGGGCAGTTGCACCCACCTAATTTGGATGGAGATGCACCACGTATATGCACTCCGGACACCAAGAGCAGACCTGCTGCCAGTGAGAACTTCAACACACGTGCTCAAGATCTCATCAGGTTATTACTTTATACGTTTTCTTTCCATGACTCTTCCTGATCCAGCTTCTTGAATGTTATTATGTTCAGTGTTTGATTAACACACAAGTTACATAATCACATACATTTTTGAACATAACAAAGAAAACTGTGCTGATTTAAAATCAGCCAAACAAGTGCAAAGTAACCTACCTGCCTTTTTTTTTTTTTTTTTTTTTTTTTTTTTTTTTTTTTTTTTTTTTTTTTTCTTTTTTTTACACTGGTGTTTTTTTT